TGCCGACATATCAATCTCGCACGCGCACTTTGGGCTTCAGGCAGAGAGGGCTCCAGCGATCTCCAATCTAGAGACCATTGTTGACAGCACCCCCCATTGGCCTAACGGGAGCGCACCAATCGCATCGCTGGCCGCGAGTGCCACACTTTCCTCGCCGTGGATAGACACCGCCGCACAACAAAGCAATCTAAACGCGTCGGCAAGTATCACCACCTCACCAATCTTTGAGGACGCGCACATCGCGCAATCTACGTCGTCGGATCAAACCCGATTGCAAACGGAAGATCGACGCCCGCTCACCGCGAACAGTTCCACGTCCACCTCCACCCTCGCACTTGGACCTGTCATTGACGCTGCTCAATCGCCTCGCGTGTTTGCATATTCCACTCACGATCCCGGACATCGCAAGCTCTCTGCAGCTCAGCCAATGCCTCGCACGCGCCGCTTGTCAGATAGCGACGATCTGAGACACGATGGGCCGAGTGGCAGCGGCAGTGCTGAGCGGAGGGAAGGGGACGACGATGGCTCCGGCGAAGTGAAGGAGCCGCAGCGACGCCAGAATACCAGCTGCGATGCTTGTAGATCGAGAAAAGTTGCATGTAAGAAGCTGAAAGGGGAACAAAAGTGCCAGCATTGCAAAAGCAAATGCATTGAATGCACCACAGTCTACATCCAGCTGGCCACCAACGGTTCGAAGAGGCCTACCAAGCGGCTGCGGGGTGCTACGATTAACACGTCTAGTAGCGCTGGTAGTGGTGGTGGTGGCGGCGGCGGAGAGGGTATCAATGGAACCGCGGACGACTTGCCACTTCCTGTGGTGAGATTCTGCCTGTTGAGGGACAACGAATACGATCCAGGAGTTGGCGTACCTATTACTCGCGCGAACGCGCGAGACGGAAGGTCCGTGTCTCCCTCGCTCGCCGTGCGCAGGCTGAGCCCGACCACTGCAGCAGAAAGCAGGCTGGTCATAACACAAGCAAGAGAAGATCTTTGCAACGATCTCGTCGACACGTACTTCAAGCTGGTCCACATTCGATACCCGGTCCTCGACGCTGAAGCGTTTCTGCAGAAGTATCGGGAAGGCAACCCGCCAGACGTGCTCTTAGCCGTTATTTTGGCCTGGGGAGCCAAGTATTCCGAGTCACCTATCATCGTCGCGGATCGCAAGGAAACCGCTGCTCAGTTGACACCAAGGCAACAGCAGCGTCGAGCAGCAGCAGCCCACGCTGAAGGAAAAGACGTTGTGATGGCACGAAGTCAACCCGTCCGAGACGTGAGCGTCCCACCAGAGCCACACAGCCTGCGTGACTTTCTGACGGCGCCGAGGGACGTCGTCAATGCAGAATCCGCGCGCTCCGCCGCTAGCAAAGTGGGCAGGTCTCGCATAGCAGAAGATCTGATCGTCAAGGCTCAGGAGGTGCTGGATCGCAACAAAGCTCATCGAATTGCTACCATGGACAATGCTAAAGCTTGCTTGATCATCCAAGCTTTGTTCTGGCAACGAGGTATCGACGACGTCCGCAAGGCTCAAGTCCAAGGCCTATCAGGGAGCGAAGAGGTGATACGACCCACAAGGCGCGGACTCTACAATTGCAACGGTGCCTGGGTCGTCAGCGGGCTCACGCACTTGATTGAATTGCGAGTGCATCTTCAAGAGACGGTATCGAGGATAGAAGACATCAGCGTCAGATCTCAGGCCACCATGACATGGTGGTTGGCGTGCATGATGGACGCGCACATGTCTGCCATGTTCAGACGCAAGCCACACTTGAGCATAGAGGATTACGACGTGGAGCCACCTTTCGCCGCGCAAAATGCGGAAAACTACGGACCGCATCCTCTTTCGGCCCAGATCGAGCAACAGAAATGGCTTAGCGCCGCGACGGACCAAGTGGAAATGATGAGAGAGGTCTACTTCTCCCTCTGGACGCCTCGAGTCGCAAAGGAAGGCGTATCGGTCCTGCGGTTGAAGGGCTTGATAGGCCACGCGGAGAGATGGCGAAGCAGACACTTGGGCGCTGTTGGCGCGCCATCGCCCTCCTGGCCTGCATACTGGTCTTTCGCGACAGCGGTCACGGCAGCAGCCTCCGACGTGAATTACCACATCGTGTGGATCTTCATGTTTCAAGCCATCGAAGAATTTGGGATTTCGGAGTTGCGCAAGGCAGAGCAACATCAAGAAGATGGCAACTTCAAACGACCACTTCTGCCGCGGCGGAAGGAGAATGACACCCCTGAAACCGTCGAAGCCCAGGCGCTCAAAGCCCGCATCTACGACGAGGCCCTGAATGCGGCAACGCGCACAGCTGCGGTCACGCAAGTTCTGCAAGAGAATGGTTACCTGCGTCTTGAAGCAGGAATTATGAAAGTCGCCATGAGCGAAGCTGGATACTGTCTGGCGCACTTCAAGAGGCCAGAAATCCTGAGCATCATTTCAGGTCTTCGTCAGTACGGCCAAGCATTTGAGGAGTGCTACGACCAAGCCGACTCCCTTCAACTGCTTGCCGCCACGTACATGGAGAATGTTGACAGCGATCTTTCTCCTTCTTCTTACGAAGAGGCTCAGAATGGCACGAACGACGACAGCAACCGTGAGGCCGAATCGAGCCATAGCTACTCTCCAGCAGGCTTGCCTTCTTGGGGACACGAACGGGGTGTCTCTGATTCCCACCCCAGCGAAAGGGTGCCTTCCACCAGCGCTCACAATGGACTGGGTTCGGAACAACAGTACTATAGTCGAGTGCAAGCGATCCAGGCGAGACAACAGGAGTGGTCCAAGGGTG